CAAACACAAACCAAATCAAATCAACGATGTCCCCTCCTTCCATATCCTTCAATAATGAAACTAATTCAAGAGGAGAACAGTAAATCTACCAAACGAGCTCAACTCTTTATCTTTATCAGGCACAATGCAGCATTGACGGCCTAAAAGCCACGAGTTATTTAACAATTTTGTGCAAGAAGGTCAAGGACGGTGCTTTATCGGGGCCTATTAGTGTTGTTAGTAGAGATCATCACCTTTCCGACGACAATGAATATTTATTTGGCACCTATTTAAATTACATGAAACCTACTTCTTATTCACACTTCACACATTTCTTGAAAGCCCAGCGAGACAAAATTCAGGCCAAAATATTTAAGAATGAATCAAGGTTGATCAGGTTTGAAGGGCCAAAATTCGCAATAAACAATCAAAACATAGCAGTTAAGTTCAGTAACTTTCTTATCCCAAAGACCAAAATATAACAGAAAGCTACTACTAAAACAAAATTGCTGGAAAAGTCGTCCTAGTTCATTCTTCTAATAAGCTCATTGATGTAATCCTCACGATTGCCAGCATCACCACCTTCAACATAATGATTTCTCTTCTTCTTCAATCCACCCAAAGGTGCCTTCAGCTGGAACGGCCATAGAAAGTTGTTTGCCTCTTTAAAGTGGGGACCCACAGTCATAATCTCGTGAATAAGATCTTCCATGCATATGATTCCATACTTGCCGAGGGTCTATATAGTGCAGCAACGAGTTTATGAAACAATATTGAAACTTCCAAGATTGAATCTGTAAGAAACTACTACACGGTGTTCACTAACTGACCTGTTCGATGATGGAATTGTCTGTCAAACCAATTCTCTGCTTGTTTACTTTCCCAAATCCGCGCTTGTAAATCAACTCTCTGATACTTTTAAGGTTGGGGTAACTGAAAAAAATTAGGTAAATGATGTGATATTGCTCGAGATAATGTAACCCCAAAAGTCATTGCAATTGGCATGTTAACACTGTCTTACCCATAGGTAACATAAGGCTCAACCCTGTGTAGCATATTCATTGTTGCTTTGTTAACTTTCAAAAAGACACCGTTAAAGATCTGTACAATGCCAAATAGAAACACTCGATTAGAAACTAGAAGACTAAATGCAGAAAATAACATCTCGTAAATACAGAAATTATACCAGTGGTTAAAAAGGCTACCAAGGTGTGTTGCTTTCGTAAGGTAGGGTGTAATCCTTAATATAAACAAAATTGACATTGGAACCACCTATGAAAAACCAGGTAAACTACACTTGGTTCATATTACAAGATTGAACATAAGTTTTTAAAAGCCGAAGCAAAAATGAAATCGGAACGACTTATGAAAAACTAACAACATAAGCTTCAACTAAATGCAAATTATAGCATTTTGGTATAATTATTGTTTCAGATCTACATTTATAGGGGTTGTTTACTTATTTATATTTTTAATTAGTTCGTGTCTATTTGTCTAAATTTACCTTCCCATTTATAGTTTTTGTCCAGCTTTAGAAAAATCATGTTTCATACTTTGTAATTGAGTCATATATATATCCCAAAAAATAAAAATACTTCAAACGTCCCTAGGCATTAAAAAAATACCAAAACTGTCTGTCCACCCGATGCCCCATCTTTAGACTGGCTCGGGATTTGAGCCCATAGGAGGCATGCACGCTCTAAAAAGATTGAAGAGAAAAGACCACTTGCTTGGCCAAAAATTGAAAAGAAATGAAGAGTTGCATGAGCTTACTACCCCCACAGCCATTCATTCAAAATTCACAATTAACATTAAAGCTTTTACAAAAGACTCCGTCTCCTCCCCTTCTCTCTGAGGTGTGGTATTCAGGCAGGCCTTGTTTGGGAGAGATTTTTTTTCAAAATCATTTTTCCCCAAAATCATGTACAATCACACATTCTATGGGACTAGGGACGGATGTAGGGGGGATTGGGCTTGTCCATAGCCCAATCCACAGCCCATTTTATTTTTCTGGTGTAATTTTTTTTTCACTGTATTTGTAATACGGTCTTGTATGGGACCCAATAACTTTTCTCTACTTTTCAACCACATATTCTCCAAAATAATTCATTTTTTTCCACTTGAAAAAATCTCTCCCAAACAAACACTCAATTTCAATGGATTCGTCGATACTCCTTTGTCGATAAACTAATAATAAAATTCTATAGTGGACCGGTGCAGATAATCTAAATGCTTAATCAAATATGTTAGTTTTGCTGCATGCTGCCCAGAGCTCTAAGAGCACACCCCCAGCCTTGGGTTTCAAAAAGGGAGAAAATCAACAGCACTGCCTTTTCCATTTCGGTTAAATCCAAACTGCAGAGTTACATTCCAAGACCAAAGTTCCATTGGCTAAATATAAGTACAATTCAATAATTTCACATTTCCACAAATACATATTCTTGAGTGTGTCTGTCACTATTGCTAGAGTACTGCATCATGTTATAGTTTTTCCTGGATATATACAATAAATATTTGATTCCATACTGAATCCTATTGCAAAACCAAAATACTAATACTACTTGAGTGTTGAGTTTCCAGAATAGAGAATGACAATGACACTGATTGAAAGAAAATTATAGAATGATAATGACACTGACGCAAAGAAGGTAAGCACATCTTTCAGTTACCTGACGCAATCGCAGAAGCTGCAGAATTTTCTTGGTTTGTGGATGCATTGCATTGATACTGTAAAATTTCAAAGGTTGACATAAGCATATAAGTAGGATGAAAATTCAAAAACCTTGAAAGAATAAAATAACTTACCCACGGATTCTAATAATAAATAACAGCTTAGCCTCAGGATTAACATAAAAGCCCCCCTTCAATCTGGCCTCGCGCTTCATACGAATCAACTCCTTCTCCTGAAAGAAGCAATACGGAACAATATTATCAAATAGACAAAGACTTTATAATTGATTCTGCAAAAGAACACAGCAGAATTCAAATGCACCTGTTCCACATACTCCTTTGCATACTGCTCAGTTTTCTTGAAGATCAACTTACGGTTCTCAGCATTCTTCTTCTTTGCAGCTTCAAGCTCTTGCTTCTTTGCAAGGACCCATTCCTCGTTCCTCTTCTGCTTCTTCAGGACAGATTCCGGAACTACTACACCTCCCTTAGCAACCTCAGCCATCTCTCTAACACAGCAAAGAGAAGAAAACAGAAAAATAACATAAAAAGTTTATCAACAATCCAAACAAACCGACTCCTGATTTCAAGAACAGCCACAGTTTACAAACATGCCAACACATCATAAGATTTTCACCTAGTTTTGGTGAGAATAGATCTCGAAACTTCCAAGAAGTTACTGTATTTTGATATAAAATTATTGCAAGGAATAATGCTCAGAAATTTAGCTCTTTTTTTAACAAGAACAAATTTTTCCTTCTGCGGGATTTCAAATATGAATCATCTAACTTCAAGTGTTTCATAAAGCCATTCTGATAAACAAGAATTATTTTCCAAAAAAAGAAGAGTCGTATCCACTTAACAATAATGGAATCACATGTATATCTATAAAATGGACAGTATATGGGGGGACATAATCCCAAAGTTGTCAAAAATATGAAAATTTGTTTTTAACTTGGCAAGCACTCTCATGCTCAATTTCACCTTAGTATTCCTAATTATCGATGAATAGAGATGAGATGTCAGATGACCTAAAAACTCGAATATTTTAATGACTACATTCCCCTATTTACGTGACCAATCTATCACTCCCAAAAATTACTCCATGCCCTGTAAATCATTTTTCAAGTCAGATAGAAGAAGTAGACATAATTTCATCAAAATGAAAATTTACTTCAAAAAAAAAAAAAAGCTACTCGTTTTCATGTACTACTGACTTTTCCTCGACTCCAGAAATCCATTTGGTAATATTCAGAAACCTGATTAATTTTGTTAACAAGACAGAAAATTTAAATATGAATATGTAATAACAGGAATGCAAAACAATTAAAAATTACCAAGAAACTGAGATCTGTAGAAAGGTCAGGATTTTTTTGGTAGAGGGACTTTGGCAGAGGGACTATGAAAAAAACCCAAGCTGAATCATACACTGGAAGGCAGAAGTGGGAAATTATCACAATGCCCTAACCTCTTACTTGGAGGCCCAATAATTAATGATACTGCACCTAAAATGGGCCAGGCCCAATTCGGTTTACCTTTTTCTTTCTTCTTTTTTTAGGTTTAGTATTAGTATTATCTTTTCACAGCAGTATATTAGAGCATCTTTTTAGTGCTTGCTTGATATTTCTTTGAGGTGCTCATAAGTAGTGAATTATAAAGAATAGTAGCTTATATGTTTTTACATAATATGTGAATAAAAAGTATATTGGACCCTTTTTTTTTTTTTTGAAAAAAAAAGCTAAGAAAGTGTCATTTAGACCATTGAGGAGTGGGCAAAATGATCAAAACCAACTGAATCTAAGGATGTCCGAAAAAACACTCGCCCAATACACGTGAATGGCCCACCTCGATTAGTTGTGCCGTTGTGGGGATTTTCACCTTGGATTAATGACACGACGTGTGCAAGGGTAGTGATTTAGCCCAAATTTGTTAAGGGGGCGAGGACTGAATCAAGTGGGTAAAGATTTAAAGGTGTCTCATCCCACTTTAAGCAAGAATTTCAATGTTATAGTCCCCCGACGAGGTGGGGGTAAGGGGACTTGGCTCCGTCCATCCCATCCAATCTCTAATTCCATTCAAATAAAAATCAACTATTCAATTCGATCTAACTTAAATCTTAAATGGTTTTTGTTCCTATAAGGCTATAACAAGAATTGTTTGATTTTGGTTTGATTCATAACTAGAACCAAAAATAGTTCTAATCCAATCGATTTCTTGGTTAATTGTGTTTATATGTTGATTTTGGTAAATTCCTTTGTAGTAGACAATATTTGGTACGAAGATAAAACATGTTGCTTACATTGAACTTTGCTTATTATTTTAATTTGTGAAATTTAATTCGTAATTTAAAATTTTGATAGAACATGTGTTTGGGACGATTTCAATTAACACTAGTCAAATTAATTCCTTATTCACAAATTTCATGGAACCAACAACTCATTATAATTAATAATTTTATATAAATTTGTAATTTAAACAATTCCAAACAAACCTTTAAACATTTCTAAGCAGTGACAAACGCGCCACTTCATCTCATGTTTTTTTGACGGCTAATTAGCACAAAACGTCCCTACCTTTGGGGTGAATTTCGGAAAACGTCCCTACCTTTCATTTCTTGGCATTTATACCCTTACCTTCAACGTTTTGTGTGCTGGACGTCCTTCTGTCCACATTCCGTCTAATTTTCCGTCCATGAACT